ATCTCAAACACGTGGATTTGTATAACATCGATATCCACTCCACCCAACATTGTCACAGACATTAAAACTTGGTTATATTATATTGAGATCACATCTTCAATAAGTGTATTTTCTATCTTTTTCTAAGACTCATATATATATATATATATGTATGTATGTATGTATGTACACACACACACACTATTTTGGTTTCAGTACTATTTAATTATGTGTGTAGAAACGGACTTTCCTTGATAATCACAAGATCAACATACAATCAATACACACACACACACACACACACACACACACATATACATATAAGTGGGTAGCTAATAATCTACGATTACATCTTAAAGGTCATTAACATAAATATAAATATGGAGTTACGACATAACTGATAATTGATCATTATTCTAGAATTAGTGTCCTTTAACTATGGTAACTCCTTAATGTCCCCCGCAAACATGACATTGACGAGAAGAAAAGTTTGGAAATAAGATGCACAAGACGGTCTATAGACAATCTCTTGGTAAAAACATCTGCTAGTTGCTAGTCTAACCTTTGTAAATCCCTAACAATGTGGATGATCGTTGAATGAAGATCTAAAAAGTGAACGGTTGATCATGAGACAATATGTAGAGTTGATTCAAATGTGTGGTTAGCGTTGTATTAAGTTACTAACTGGTTAGCGTTTGAGCGCTTCTGTATATATGTTTATATTGAGCATAAAAACCCTCTGTAATTATATGTTACTTAAAATGGAAGGTTTGCCGTTTATAGGGTATGTGTTTGCCTTGCTTACAACCAAACCATGAAAGAGGAAGTTACAGTTTGGAAGAAGAACAATTGATATCCAATAGAAAGTATGTAAAAATTAGAATAGAAATATCGATGAGTGTCGCTTTCCTTTTTTTTTTTTTTTTTTTCTTCTCCAGCTCTTGAGCCGAATAATGTGTATTTTCTGACGTTTTGTTATAAGATAATTGTTGCTATCATTTTTAAATAGAAACCAACCCACAGGCCACATAATAATACATTCCTAATTTATTAATTTTCCTAATTACAACAAAATTAAGTATTAATGACTTTTTCCTTTTTTAATTAAAAGCAATAATTTACACTAAAAAAAATGAGAAAGTTCACTCGGAAGGTAGTGAGATGAAGCAGAAAATCCTAATCACTAAGGTGATTTACCACTCGCATGACTTCTTTAATAAATGCAGTTCATACACACACAAACTTGTTTTTAATTAAGTTGAATTGGAAAAAAAAAAAAAAAAAACCTTTAAATATGGGGATGAAGATTAAAAAATAATAATAACAATATGGAGAAGAGAATGATACTGTGAAGATGGACATACATGAGAGACAGAGATATGGTGCAATCTATTTATTTTATTATTAAGAGAAATGTATTTCGTTTACTTTGTTTTGGTGTATGATTGTGTCGAGAAACGCTGTAGTCGTTGTGATAGTGGTCGTGTTTTAGCCAATGTACACACTACACAGTAAATACAAGGTTTTGCATCTAGTACACCTTTGATATGCGGTCGAAGCTAGAAGTCATCGAAGATGTCGGAAATGGGATTGAGTTTAGCCAGTACGACACTATGAGTTTAGTTGGTATGGTGTTACGACTCTCTTTGGGATGTCCAACGCTAGTGGTGACATGATTTCACCTTTTATAGTGTTTTTATGTTTAATAATTTCGAGGAATTGTCTTAGAGTTTGTTTGATTTCTCTCTTTAGGAGAATTTGGAAATTAGGATTTCTATATGTAGGACAACTGCTTCCTTTCAATTTTTGTTTTCGTGTGCTATACATCTACTTTGTATCTATGTGTGAAGAGTGGAGCTGTTTGATTTGTTAGATTTACTTCGTACTGCATGTCCCAATATAATTTGAAATTTTTTTTTATCACATGATCTCCGTGTAACACGAGGTTTAATGATTTATTGATTTGTGTACTCTTGCAGTTCCTAATGAGCTCAGCTTTCAACTAGTGTTTGAAGTCTACCAATTGCTTTGTGATCGGTGATATTTTATTGTAATATTTTAAATCTAGTAACCTTTTTAAAACTGAACTCTTCATAATATGTATTTGTAATGTCCATTTTCAATGATTGAATTAATTATATATGTCTCATGACATTCTGAATTGTATATAGACTAATTGTTTTTGTTGGAGAATAAAAGTTTGGTAGCTTAAGGTTCGAAATGTACTCCCCTAAGATATACAGGGACAGGTTGATTTGCAAGACATTTCATCAATACTTTCACTTCAAGTGCATACATGTCTAGTTATATATCCATCCATTAAATTCAAATCCTCTCCATATTCCATCAGAAAAAAATGAGTCCCAAAACCACTATCCTAACATATTTTGTTGCCACTGTTGCGATTTTATTGGCATCTCGAAATCTCATTGATATTCCAAACTCATCATCCCTCAAATACTTTGTCAATCTAAGTGATCTCAACACCTCATCCTCAGTGCTCAATATTATTTCTTTTCTCATCCCACAAAACATATTTGCTAGGCATCGCAAAAAGCATGCGGATAGGGAAAAATAGGATCCATTTGTGATGATTTTCCACCCGGATTTCCTCCTCCAGACACCAACACAACCTCCTATCTTTGTGTTGATCCAAATGGTTGTTGCAAATTCACATTGGTTCAAGCAGCTGTTGATGCAGTTCCGACTCCTAGCTCGAAAAGAACAATAATTTGGATTAATAATGGCATTTACTAGTAAGTTAATTAGCTTTGCAATTCCTTCATTTCCAACTCTCTTTTTTCATTTTTTTTTTTCAATTTGTTTCGTCTCCTAGTAATTGATGTTCGTGAGAAAAACTTAAAAGAAAATTACCATGGAAAGAACCCTCGCCTATAATGTAATAACCATTGAGGGCAATAACAGTTGTGTCCATAAAGTTTTTTTCTTGTTGAAACAATGTTTTTAAGTGTTTTAAGGACTTCCATTTTATGAAAAACCTTTCATTAAATACATTAATTGTTTATTTTTGTTCATAATGTAACTAGTGAGAAAGTCACGGTTCCAAACACCAAACCAAATATAACATTTCAAGGACAAGGTATGAAATGACTGCAATATCATGAAACGACACAGCCAATTCAGCGCATGGCACATTTTACAGTGGCTCAGTTCAAGTTTTTGCTGACAACTTTGTTGCCAAGAACATAAGCTTCATGGTGAGCTACACACTTTGAAAATTGCATCAATGTATTAATTTTATAATTTATACATATTCACATGTCCAAATGGAAATTATGAAACAAGAATGTTGCTCCACTTCCGAAGCCTGGAGAAGTTGGAGCTCAAGCTGTAGCGAATAGAATATCAGGAGACCAAGCTGCATTTTTGGGTTGTGGGTTTTTTTGGAGCTCAAGACACCCTTCACGATGATAGGGGCCGCCATTACTTCAAGGATTGCTACATCCAGGGCTCCGTTGATTTCATCTTTGGCAATGGAAGATCATTGTATGAGGTAACCCGTTTCATTTCTGATATGCAAATTTCTTTTCCTGTGATTGCTTGAGAAAATACGTTTTGGGGTTACTCTTTACCTTGCAAATCACAGTTTGACATACATATACAAAAATAATTCACTAAAATTACAAAACAAAAAGGTTTTTTGCACGACCAAACTGTGATTTTTCATTTACAGAGGAATAGCTGCTTCATGCATGCAGGCAAGGAACCATGTAGTCTAGATTAGTACCCAATACTAAGTAATCATTTTTCATACAGAATATAAGTAAAATGTTTATGACAAATTGATATATAAAAAAACTACAAAAACCAGTGTGCTTCTTGGACTGCTTGACACAGAATTGTCAGTTGATTTCGATGTCAAACCCAGTACCCCTAGGAAGAAAGAGTATAAATGGCGCGGTTACAGCGCACGGCAGAGCTTCCAAGGATGAAAACATGGCTATGCATTGTCAACTGCATTTGTCAACTGCTTTATTGGAGGGACTGGAAGAGTATGGCTGGGTCGAGCATGGAGGCCTTTCTCTCGAGTGGTTTTTGCCAGCACAACAATGACTGATATTATAGCTCCTGAAGGGTGGAATGACTTCAATGATCCAACAAGAGACCAGTATGTAAAGATTAATGCAAGGGTTACAGCTCTTTTTTGATAGCCGTTTAGACAAAAACTCAAAACTGAAAACTTGTTTAGTAACTGTTTTTAAGTTTTTAATTTTTTTTAAAAAAAAATAAAAGTTGAAGACCTAGTGGTTTTCAAAGGACCCCTCAATTAATCAATATTCATTTAAAGTTTGATTATTGGATTAATCACAAAATTAATCTAGTCGAAGTATTAATCATTTGTTTAAATGCATGCAGGACTATATTCTATGGAGAATACAATAACTCAGGTGCAGGAGCAAATATGAGCTTGCGTGCGCCTTACGTACAGAAGCTGAATGACACACAAGCTTCTCTTTTCCTTAATGTGTCTTTCATTGATGGGGGAGATTGGTTGCAATCCGTTATTAATTAATTAGACTCTCTCTTGGGCCTTTTTTCTCATCTCGTCCAATGTAATATCGTGATTAAATTGTTTGTTCTCGTCAATGTACATGACAATAAGACACATCATCATCTTTAGGTCTCAATAATGCAACTGACGCTGACAAGCTAAAAGATAAATGTCATGCATATATAAACCCTTGGACCAAGGTGGTCTGGTTTGGGTCCCCCCTTGGTTTTAAGGTCAATGCCCAAGCTACTTCCTCTTTTGATCGCTGGTTCTTGAAATTATCCTCTCTTCTCCCTGAAGACAATATCTCCCATGATCGATTTCATTCTTTTGTTGGGAAATTTGGAAGGTTAGACGACATGTAACAACCCATCCCAGATTTTACTGTTTTTATAATTTTAAATCATTGGCTTTTGTTGAACTTTGTACCGTGCAACGTATGTCCTATTCTATTAGCATTTTCTTGTAGTACTCGTTGCTAAGAATGTGTGGGCGTAAGCAAATTTGGATTTAGAGCTAAAACAAAGGTTTTATGGGACTTGGAACGATAAGGACATTATGGTAATTTTACGTCATGAGAGATATTTTTTCCGTTTTGTCTTTTCTTGCTTTGTTTGGTGTGCCAGTGGGGCCCACCCTCTTTTGGTGTCTCCCGACTCTCTCTTTTTCTTCCTTGTCTTTTCTCTGCTTTCACTCCTTGGTAAACTCTCCCACTTTCTTTGTCTTTTTCTCTCATCTTTGCAACTCTCTCTCCGAGATTGCACAACCAACAACGACAGTACTACCTCCACCACCATTAGCCTCGCCATTCCATCGAGCACCATCACCATCTGTGGACCCTCCTTCCTCCCCTTCTCGCCTCTCTCTTGACAATTATTGTTCATCATTTTCTCCGACAAACCACAGCGAGTCATCATCGTCCCCAACGTAGGTAAGCTCCTAAAATCTTCTAGATCGTGTTTTAGTTTAGATTAGAGTAGTTGGTAAAATTTCCTAGATTTATGGATTTTGAAACCAGGGCCGTTTGACCACTTTCAAACACCTTTTTTCGACCAACTCCGACCATGTCACGGCCTCTAATGGGTATGTATCGATTCCTTACATTTTAAACTTCATTTAGGTTCTTAAATCACTGAAATTGGTTGAGAATCGAGCTTGAAATAAGCTCTAGAAGCTGGCCCTTCCACCTGTAAGTCTGCAAGTTTCGTGGATAAGGCAAGTACAGCGTACTCGAGGGTGCGTGAGGCTGCGCGTGGTGCTACAGTGCCCAACGTGTTAATGATGATACTTTATGGACATTTCACATGTTAAACTAATCTAGTTTAATATTAAGGGCAAACATTATTGTTTGAGCCGTCTCATATAAATGTTATATGCTTAAACGATAAGTCCAAGGAATATGTGATTGGAAGAATGTGATCTAAAGAAGTTAGATTCATGAGACCATTCTTTCGTTGACACATCCTAAACGTTCCTGATCATAGGATTGTCAATTGGGCATTAACAGTCCGTTAAGATCAGTACGTGCTATGTCTTCTCTCAGGGAGAGTGACTAGTCTCGAGTCATTGGTGTGTGTGACATCAAGACAAGTACGTAGGTGCTCAATAGAGAATGAGTTCACTGAACACGATCAACAAAGAGTTTTCATATTCATGTCACATGAGAACTCATGGTTGGGATAATGCAAATTAGTCTTTTGACCTGAGGCATCACAGTTGTCTTGTGGTTAGGTCCTTAATCTTTGATTATGTCAAAGTCACTCCATCATGAGGGTGTCCATGGCATCGTTGGGGTTAAGCCACTTAGCCATGGAGGCAAGTGAATGCGCAACAAGGGATCTCTAACCTTCAAACTGTTTGAGGGAGAATACTCTATGATATGATTTAGAATCTCTGGCCAGAGTATGAATGAGATGTTGGAATGCGTTCCAGATCACATTGAAGGTAATCATATAAGTACAAGATTCACATTGGATAGTAGACATGAATAAACTATCAAACCAAAAAATGTGGTCAAGAGTATTATATTAGAGAAAGACCGTATTGCATTTGTAATCCTAAACTGAATAGGTTCTCCACCTCTTCTGATTAGCTTGGGTAACCATGACATGCTGCTAGGCGTCAACCATGGTTTGTGGAAGCCCTAAAAGTGTATTATCACTAACGGGAGAATTGAAAGTAAGTTTCAATTCACAATCGATTAGAAAGAGTTTTAATCGCCCACTGCCTCACTAAAAGGAACCTAATGGATCGTTCACCGAGTAAGGTAGAGTTTGAAGAAACAACGGAGATGAGTAAGAATAATTAAATGGTTTAATTATTTATCTAAGGCTAGGATTAATTAATATGTTAATTAATCAAACGAATAAGTTCGTTAAAGATCTCGGGTTAGTTTTGGGCCGCAAGGCCCAATGGGATTTGAATGTCAAGCCCATTAACTCAAGTTGTATGACAACTTGAATAAAACAAAGGGCTTGAAAGCCCAATAAACCTATAGGCCGGCCATGTGTAAAAGAATAGGGCTTTTGGTCCATTAGGTCACTTATTTGAAGGGACTATATAAAGGACTTTATAGCCTAAAATTTACTAAGGGTTATTTTTGGGGGAAAGGATGAGAACACAAGCTCTCATTTCTCTCTAAAAATTTCGGCCAACCTTGGAGGGATCATCTAGCAATCAAACTCCTCCAAGGTCACTCATTTCTTCTTCATTATGCCTTGGTGATGAATAATTAGAGGTTCTCAATTTTGGGAACTTGGAGAAACCTTTTCATCCATCCAAATCCAGGATCAAGATGCAAGGAAGAGGCCCTCTTCTGGTCTATGAAAGAGGATCTACAAGTATTGTTTACTCAACTCACTTTTTTGAGTGATTGGGGCTATATAGATTCATGGGAAATGTTTGTTTAAGGCATACAGATGATCCGCCTATCTTGCGGTGTACTTAAATGAGTTTTTCACAATTTCCGTCATGGATTACACGCGCCTCCGTCGGAGGCACTGTACTTCATCGCCGTGGCGCTAACGATTCCCCGACGACCTATCTCGGGGTGTGAAGGAACCCAAGGTCCTTCCTTAGGTTTTTCGAAGTGCCGAATCCGAATCCACTGTTCGTTTTCCCAAATTCAATCGTTTAAGTAAGGTTTTATTAAATGGTCTCTACTTGTGTTTAGGTGCGTTGGTTGGTCGTGACCCTATCCTCCCTAGTTCGAGTGGCTCCCAAGGAGTGGAATATTTGTGAGTGGACTCTTTTTTAAATTGCATGTTTTTATATAAAATATTAAGCTTACATGCATTTATATTTTATGAATTGATTATGTTTTATAATATGTTTTACGGATTTCTATAATTATGGTTATGGAAAACTTATGATTATTTAAATTGTTTTTACGAAATATTTATGGCTTGTTTATGATTTCAGTTGACGAGATTTTAAATGCTAAGCTTGGTATGAGTTTTTGAGATACTTTTTATGTGCTTATCTGGTGGGTTATCATACAACACATACACACAACTCGAGTATGTAGACATCTATGGCCATAGGACACAGTTAAGGATATTTATGACATACTCCCAGCTACATTGGTGAAACCACTGTCAGACAGCTTCACTAGCCATGGCTAGTGTCGGTGTGTTATGTATATGTTCCTTCTCTAGCGTAACTCAGCATCGTACAGCTTCACCTTCGAGTGATAGGACCTACCATATTTCTTCATTAGTGTAACTTAGTGTCGTACAACTTCACCTTTGAGTGATGGTTATGCCTTCCGGCGACTATGATACCCCTAGTTGAGTACTTTATTACTTTGGGTTTATGAGCTTTCCCGGATTTGCCTTTCGGCGACTTCAATACCACTTTTAGATATGGTTTTATTATCTACGAATGTTTTCATGGCACGTTAGGGTTTTCAAAAAACCTATTATGTAGTATTATATACGTTTTCAAAACAGGGGGTTAGTATGTTAAAAAAGAAAATGGTTTTCTTATTATTAGTATTAGTATTATAAACCTTAGTCTACTCATCCTTTGTTTTGTGCCCCTTTCAAGATTTAGAATCGAGGCATACGATTCTCGCGTCAGGGTATTTCTGCATAGGTAACTTCGAGTATTCTGAGTGTATGACCAATTCCTTTGTTCGTACCTTTTTATAGTAATTCTTTCACATTATTCTTGATTACTTATATACTCTGAACACGTTTTCGCATTAGCATATTTCGTTCTAATTACATATTTTATTTGTATGCATGTTTAAAATGGCTTCGTCACTTGGCCATCACATGCCTATCTTGGTATTTAGAGATATTGGGGTCGAGGCGTGTCATGTCAAGCTAGCTTTAATGGAATCATCCATCTTCTGCTACTACTATCCACAAGGCCTATTCGGTAATGGAGGAATTTTGGACTGCCAACCCTGTAGCACATTCTCGGGTCTCTCAAGGCACGGTCGCTCTTTCAACTTAGATCTTTCCTTCTATTTCAGTGCTGAAAATCAACTGTGATGCCTCCTGGACCAAGCAATCAGGTTCGACAGGTTTTGGAGTTGTTATTAAGGATACTTCTGGTTCTGTGATGGCTAGGAATTGTGGGACATCTTCTTCTGCTCTTTAAGCTGAGGCTAAAGCTGGGGTTATGGCTATTCAGACGACTATCCATAATAATATCACTAATGTTATTTTTGAATCTAATTTTACCACTCTAGTAGCTAGCATTAATGAGGATAGAAGGAAAGCCAATTGGTCTATTTTTCCCCTTCTTCACCAAATTTGGAATTTTCGTCACCATTTTTCCTCCTTTAAGTGGTGTTGGGTTCCTCGACAAGCGAATTCTACAACTGTTTATGTTGCCTCGCAGTGTAAAAGAGAGATATGTTCGAAAGTCTGGGTTACGAAGCCTCATATGGTCTAGTCTATATCTTGTCCATTGATGGCCTTCCTTGCCCTCACTAACGCCCTCTTTGTTTCTAGCCTTTGGGTGGTGACCCAAACTGTGCTTTTGGTCCACTTTATCTACCTTTAGGTCCATTGCCTCCTTGGGGGTCTTTACTTGCTATTGGGTTCCCCAATTTTATTAGGGTCCCTTATCTTATGTATCTATTGCTTTTCATCAATGACATATTTTGTTCAAAAAAAAAAAAAAAAATCCTCACTTCAATGTCACCATCTAATTAATCATCTCAAGTATAGAGCCATTCAGGGCATCAGGTAGACTGTAGGAGGAGGGGAAATCGAATATACACCTATCATGTGAGGTGTGTTTTTTTTTTTTTTTTTTGTTTGGTTCAAACAAGATTACTTTCGTAAAAAATTAGTACAAGGCCCAGAAAGAGCCAGTTAAATAACAACAGATAAGTAAAATGCCCAAGCAAAAGGAGAGTAGCAACCTAAGATACAACAGGAGGCCCACACAAGCTTAAGCCTGAAGGTAGCAAAACCAAACAATAAAAAAATCCTAATCTCAAGCAGCATAAACCAAACTGCCACCACTGTCACATCCTCAGAGGAAGCCAAACTCTGAACTGAGAAAGTAGACACCGGATTCAAGTCCCCCTTCATGAAGCCCTGCAAATATATACAAAGTACCTTCTGGATAGAAAGTGAGGCTAAGGGGTAATTAAGACCAAATCTAAGACAAGCTTAGGGGGTAATTGAGACCAAACTCGAGGAAAACTAAGATAAAACTCAGAGGATAACCAAAAAAAGAAGGAAGAAGATTGGAAAGGGGGGAAGGAAGAGGGGGTGGGATGCTGTGAGGGGAAGTGACAAAAGAGATAAGAGAGGAGGAAAAGAGGGAAATGGCAAAAGAGAGAAGAGGGAAGGTGGATGAAAAAAAAGATGAAATAAAGGGATGTTGCCTACCCCAAGCAAAAGCAAGGCCGGTAACTGAAACTTTGATCTAGCTTGGATTTTTGCAGCAACACATAGAGAGTTTGGGAGAGAGAGAGAGATTGAGAGAAAACTTTTAACGTACCATTGTTATGATGTGAGGTTAATGTTATTAATTATATAAGTTACAAACTTATTACAAAGGTATCATGTTCTTCTTGTATCATGGCCTCTCTCTTCCATTCTCTTCTCTTTCACTCTAATGTCTAAATTCCTTGTGAGTTTTACATGGTTTCGGGTTGGAACCCGAACCGAAATTCAAACAACAATTGATCTTCTTTAGTTCATTTGATTCGATGGCGAAAATTGAGAGGGTATTTGAGAAATAAAAATAGGTGTGTGTATAACGCTACCATTTCTGGAAATTGAATTCAAAATAGTCAGATATATTATTTTGGCCCGATCCCGAACCAAAATTTTCAGAATCCATAAAATTGGGAATACCAAAACTTATTTTTATTTTGGATTGGTTCAATAAAGTACGATGGTGGCGATGGCTGAAGTTCAATGACGCTGATGGCTAATTCATGGTCGTGGTGGAGAGAAGGGGGATAAGAGGAGAAATGTTTGTGACGGTGATGGTTGTTCAGTGGAGCGACTGAGAGAAGGAAGAATTGCAGAACTAAGAAGAGGGTGGCGAAACCTAGAATCGTAGCGGTGGCATCTGATTTGTGGTGAACGTGGTGAGATATGGGATGAGAGGAAAAATATTGGTGACATTGATAGTTGTCATGGTGGAACGATAGAGAGAGGGAGACGAAATGAATGGTCATCGTGGTGCAACTGAAGTGAAGTCGACGAGGGAGAGTCAAAACGATGGCAGATAGGGTTCTGAGGGGATGTTAAATTGAATAATTAATAGTTATTAGATAACATATAATTATATTAGTTGCAGTTTAATATCACATGTTAAAATTTGGCTTAGTGGTTAGGAACTTTGATCTCCTAAGGGAGATCTCATGTGGTTGAGTCTTTCCAGTCTTGTTTTTTAGGTAATTAATATCAGTCCGGTTTAGGTTGAAACAAAACTTCACTTCCTATACAAAATTCAAAATCAAACCAATAAAAAATTCAAGATAATTCGAGTCGATTTAAGAATTTTCGATTTTTTTTTCCAGCCCAAGTTTTACATCCTTGGTTAGTAAGTAAGCGTAAAAATAGACAAAATGAGAGCCTTCTGAAATATTTGTCTAATTTGTGACACAAAGATCTTGAATTTTAACCAGTGTTTTTCTTACTTCAATTCTCAGCGCCGCCTCTAAATAACTGTTATAGCGTTGTTAACTTTTTCCAGCCTTAATCGTACGTAATATGCTTCAATCACGTAATAAACATGTATCCATTTTTGAAAGATGCTATACAATTCAACTTTATACCAAATCATCTCCTAAAGGAACTACATACCGAATAATAGTAAAGTTTTATATGATCACATAAGATCATGGATCCTCTTCCTAACTTTATATGGAATGCATATACATAGTAAATTTTACCCTTTTTACATCATGGATCAAGGCACATACCGACCTACTACCTTTGTGACATTTGCCGTGCCGCTACGAGAAAACGGAACAAGAAAAAAATGGAAATAAAACCAAATAGGAAAGGGCACGCGGAATTACCGCGTATTCTGAGGTTGTACACTTTAGCAGGGGACACAACAAATATAGAGAGAGAGAACGAACGCGGCGAGAGAGAAGCAGCAAAGGTTGTGGTGGTGGGTGGCGGAGGCGGCGTATTGGTAAACAAGAAGGCCAAACTCCAGTTTCTTGTTGGATTCGGATGGCAGAGGTCGAGCCCAAAGATACTAACGGCACTAGCAACGGCAGTGCCAATTCGAATTCGAACCCCGCCGATCAGCCGGACCGCCTTGTTCGTGTCTACGCCGATGGGATCTACGATCTCTTCCACTTCGGCCACGCTCGCTCGCTCGAGCAGGCCAAGAAATCGTCAGTCTCTCTCTTTACCCCTCTACCTCTCTCTATCTCTCTCTGTTTACAATTGCCATTTGCTGCTTTGGTTCTGTGTTTTTCTTCGTTTTTGAAATCTGGGTTGCTCCTATTTCCGACCAGTATTTCGTTTGTTTCATAAAATTCGTAGCTTTTGTGTTATTTATTACCTGGGTATCTTTTATTTTGCTGTGATCTTTTTTGCTTATGGTGTGAAATATTCTTCTTCGATGATTTCTGTTTGTCTATTGATTGAATATGTTGATTGGTTAATCCTTTTCTTTGTCGTATACATCGTTTTGCTTAAGCCTATTGGACTCCTATGAGATAAAAGCTTATGGAATTGCAATCTTGAAGTATGTGAATAGTTACAAAGATGTTCCCTAGGTTAAAAATTGAGGGGCTTAGCTTTTTATTTGATTGTTTTCATGTTACTTTTTCTGTAATTTGATATCTTTGTTGCTGTTAACTTGTGAAATGGATATGTGGTCTGCTTTTGCACATTTTTCTTATGAATTCGAATTGCCATTTCAGGTTCCCTAACACCTATCTGCTCGTCGGTTGTTGTAATGATGAAACAACTCACAAGTTTAAGGGAAAACTGTTATGACAGAGTCTGAACGTTATGAATCTCTTCGCCATTGCAAGTATGAGTGCCCTCTCTTACTTCTTCTCCCTCTCCACCTTGTAATTCTTCCTTACAATCTTGGTTTTGCATGTGTGTAATGTGTATTAATGACACATTTTCACGATGGAATTTATGAGAGTTATGTGATCAAGGGCATGAAATATGTGTTTTGTTTGCAGGTGGGTAGATGAAGTCATTCCTGATGCACCTTGGGTGATTAATCAAGAATTTCTTGACAAGCATGAGATTGACTTTGTAGCCCATGACTCTCTACCGTAAGGATACTTTATCCAAGTTCTCACCTTGAGCTTTACTGTTATGCTGTTTGGTGACTTTATGTACTTTTGGAACATTTATGAAATTCTTCAGTTTTGTTTGTATGCTTTTTTTTTTTTTTCGTTTTCTCCAGTATATTTCTCTCAGCATTCCGTTCTTTTGAAATACATGGTATATCTTAGATATTAATAAATTTAAAAAGTAAGTGCATATTTGTTACATTTTTTTCTATTGTAAATTTAATAGTGACATTGGTTATGTATTCTTTTGTACTTTGCATTTTTTGTACAGTTATGCTGATACAAGTGGAGCTGGGCAAGACGTGTACGAATTTGTAAGCTCGAGACAAGTGCTTTTCTTTTGTTTCTATTTTCCTTTTATCTTTAACATATAATTTGTTAAGCGGTTCTTTTCTTATAGGTCAAAGCCGTGGGGAGGTTTAAGGAAACAAAGAGAACTGATGGGATTTCAACTTCGGACATTATAATGAGGATTGTAAAAGATTATAACCAGTATGTGTTGCGTAACTTGGATCGTGGATATACAAGAAAAGAGCTTGGTGTTAGTTTTGTGAAGGCAAGATTCTTTTTGTTTTTTATTTATTCAGTTTTCCTACTATGTAATATGGCTTTGTGGGTTCTCGTCCCAAATTGACCTAGCTGTTGAGACGGTAAGCTTTCCATGGCGAAAAAACTCAATCTTTCTGATTTTGTTTGGTATAAATAGGAAAAGCGATTAAGGGTGAACATGAGATTGAAGAAGTTTCAAGAGAAAGTGAAGGAACATCAAGAGAAAGTAGGAGAGAAGGTATGTATCTCTTTTACTATATATTGTTGTGCTGTAATTGCAGGATGTAATGGGAGAATTTGCATGGACCTAATTGGCCGCCTTATCATAATCTACTGATTGCAAAAGTTTAGAAATTTGGCATTAAGAGGGAACCGA